TGATTTCTGCTGCAACCTGATATATATAGAATATGCTTAGGTTGTTAGTGCTTCTTTAATCGATAGGAGTGAATTGATTGTGCGAGAGTCACTCAATTCACTGCTTTGTACTAGAGTCCATTTCTAGTAGTGGAGTTCTGTGTGAATTTCCTTAACATTCTATCTCGGTGAAGGCTAGTCGTCTGCTGGATAGTCTGTCTCAGAGGGATTGGTAAGCTTAAGAGTTTCCAACCTAATTTCGGATCTCTCGTAGTTTAATCAACAGTGAATCAACCAGAGGGAATTTAAACTTGAACCTAACTAAGGAGCTAGGGGGACTAATTCCCGAGTGACTCTTCTCTTGCTTCAGAAAATCGGACAATTTACTCCTTTCATTCTGTTTTAGTTTGAATTCACCTACACTCACTTAGTCTCTCTAGATAATAGAAGTTCACATAGTACGCAGTAGATATAGACCACGGTTTGATAAATTAAACTTACCCACTATTCTGCATCTCCATTCTGCGATTACACTTGGTCGTAGTTTGGTGTTGTGTCATAGCGAGTCAGGGAGGCGCCTCCCGAGGGTGATTTCCCTTCGGAGACTAGAGAAGAGGATAAAGAGGGCGATTAGGATGTCGACAGTGATGACGAGTGACCTACGACGCGCTCCCCTTGTGTTCCTTTCTCCTTGTTCTGTTTTCTCTTTGTAATTCCTATCTTTTGATGTGTAAGACAATATCGGAACGCTAGCGCCCCCCCCCCCCCCAATTTTGAACTTTCTTGTGTCATCTATCTTCCTATGTTTCTTATGACTTGTTTAATTACTAAGGACGTGTTAACGAAAGTTTATTTAGCTGATAAGACGAGCACGAATGGTGAATACGCTCTTGGTAGTTCGACTGCGGCTCATGAATTGCCACGCGAAAGGTTAGGAGGCGCATCTCGATCGGGATGACTGCCTCGCTTCCGTAGGTGAGCGCTAACGGAGTTTATCTTGTAGAGACCTTGTATGTCGTTCGGTGCTCCCAAAGGACCATTGAAAGCTCCTCGTCCCATCGACCCTTTGCCCCAACCATCCTTGTGTATAGACCATGCAAGATGCTTTTGTTGACCGCCTTCGCTTGTCCGCTGACCTGGGGGTAGGCTATGGAGGAGAAGCGTAGAATCACTCCCTTCTCATCGCAAAAAGTTGATAAACTTCTTGAAATCAAACTTCTTTCCATGGTCGGTCACGATTGACTCAGGAAATCCGAAGCGAGTAAATATGTTGTGGTTGGTGAACTTCCAAACTTGAGCCTGAGTGATGGTTGCCAGTGGCTCAACCTCTATAAATTTGGAAAAATAGCCGATGGCCACAATCAAATATTTCAACTGCCCAGGCGCCTTGGGAAAAAGACCCAACAAAACCATCCCCCACTGTGAGAATGGCCATGCGCCCACGTTTCCTTGCATGGGAGCGACTGGGATATGTATGTCATGGGCATGGATTTGACATTGGTGATAGCTGGTGATATGTTATTCCGCAACAGTCCGAATTGTAGGCCAGTAGTACCATCGCCGCAACAAGATTTTCTCCAAGCTTCTTGCCTCGTGTGCATGCCACAAGCGCCCTGATGTACTTCCTCAATGGCCTCCTTACTTTCTCGCTCGGTGAGACACTTTAGATAGACTTTTGTGGGCGACCGCTTGTACATTCGTCCATTGATGATTGTGCATCTGGCTTCCTTGTGCCTCACTTGTCATGCCTCTCGGGCATCCTCCAGGACCATCCCACTCCGTAAGTACGCCCTAATGGGGGTCATCCACCAGTGCCCTTCTTCCTCAGGTCCGTTACCAATTAAAAACACCTCTTCCTCTTTTGAGAGAGACTCCTTGGTGACTATTACGTGTCTATCCTCGTCGAATTCTGTGAGTTTCGATAGAGCATCCGCATGCGCGTTCTCCTCCTTGGTAATATGCTGGAATTTCACCTCGTCGAACAATGCGCCCCTTCTTTTGACCTGCTCTATGTAGGCACCCAACGCTTCTTCCTTTACATAATATATGCCGCTCAGCTGGTTCACCACCATGGTCGAGTCAGAATGCAAATGAATCCTTTGGGCTCGCAACTCACGTGCCATATGCATCCCAGCTATGACTGCCTCATACTCGACTGCATTGTTAGTCTTCAACATTGAGAACCTTAGAGCAATCTCGTGTATGGCGCCCGTGGGGTTTATTACCACAATTCCTGCTTCGGTGCCTACTCGGCTTGCCGCCCCTTCGACGTAACTTGCCACCACTTTTCACCCTCTTCTCCTCCGTCCACAATCCCCTCCACCATGAAATCCACTAATACATGCGCTTTAATAGCTGGTCGGGGGGTATAACAGATGTCGTATTCACTCAGTTGAATCGCCCACTTCACCATTCTCCCTGCTACGTCCATCGATCCCAAGGTTCTTTTTAGCGGCAAATTGGTGAGCACCACAATCGAATGTGCCTGGAAGTATGGTCTCGGCTTCTCGGCCGCCACGACGACCGCCAAGGCCACCTTTTCGATGGGAGCATACCGTGACTCTAGACTAGTCATTACCTTGCTCACGTAATAGACCAGAATCTCTTCCCCCTCCTCCTCCTTCGATACGAGCACTCCACTTACGGCCGTATGCGAAACCGCTATGTAAATGTAGAGTACCTTGCCCGCTTTTGGGGCTGTCATCACGGTGGGCGCCGTCAGCAGGTCTTTCAGTTGCCCAAACGCCTTGTCGCATTCTTCTGTCCACTTGAATCGCAAGGCCTTTTCCAAGGTTGACCGGCTGATATGCATTTTTCATTGACTGCCACATAAAAATATCTCTTCCACGTCAGCATAACATCCGCCAACTCACCATCATCTAACGAATGTGTTAACAGAGATTTAGCGGTTGGCTATTATTTAGTATTTCGATAGTTGTGGCTATTATTTTCCCATCTTTAATAGTTTTGTCTAATATATTGTATTTACCCTAAAAATAAACCTATGTCACCCTTATATAAAAAAATCATAACACATTACTTGAAGGGTTAATTTATTTTTTGCTGAAAAATATAATAAAATGAATATCATTGTGTAGATCATAATTAATGCAATCTTTCTATGCAATATTTTTTTAATTTTTAGTTAAAACAAAAGAGATATGATATGATATTAATCATATCATGATATTATATGTATTGAGAAATTACAACAAACTCATATTATACTACCTTTTTACTTATAATATTTTTTTTAAAAAATATATATTTTAGACTTTAATCAATACATTCTTTCTATAATATTTTTTTTATTTCAAGTTAAAACGAAAGAAAATTGACCCGATTAAAAAGTGAGAACTAAACATGTTGACTCTAACTGGTCAATTTTTTTTCTTTCACTTCTAGAATTCCTGACAACAGAAAGAAAGATAGAGGTGTCGAAGATTATCCTGTCTCCTCTCCTTGTCCCATATAAATTTTGGACCGCTAAGATGTAAAATAATGGACTTTGCAGTGTCACCTTCTTCTGGATATTCCATCACATCTCCGCCTCCCTTCACACGTCATTATAGTTTACTTGTCAATCCTATCTTGCTTTTTCTTTTAATTAATATTTTCTTACTTAATTTTTAATGTTACCATCCTTCTCGAAGCAACAGTTTTATTTCGCATTAGGATTAACATTATAAAACTAAATACCCGCCACTAATCTTATTATCATGAATACAAAAACTAGACTTTAGAAATTCGTAAAATAATCTTAAATAAATATCATTACAATTTACAAGTGCATTTACACTGTAAATTTCAGTGTTAAATTTGCATCAGTTTTTTTATGATTTCATAATTAACTTTTTTTGCACTAATTATAATATAATTCTTATGGATTGCAAGTGACCTGACACTACTATTTGCAGATGGATAGAGAGAGGGAGTTGAGAATGCTGACAAAGAAATGAAGGACACCAATAATTAATAACCCCTAAAACTACCAAAACACCATTTACATTTTTTAATAATGACCTACCGCTCTCAAAAGAATTATGAAGGTAACTTATTTCGCTTTTTTTTACATAAAGTATTTTTAACATTTCAATGATTAAGATATTGTTTTGTTTGATTTATTCCATACTGATTTACTTTTGAGAAATGTCGTTGCGATTTTTTAAGAGGTATTCTAAAGTCAATATATATAACTTTAAAATTTTTACAAAAACTTTCCAATTTCAAACAAATAAGATATAATATTTTTTTGTGAAAAAATAAAATACAATATTGGTTACGAATCATATATTTCTCAAATTTTATCGATATGAAATTCGACTGAACAGAAAAGGCAAAGAAAAGAAAGTCTTGAATTTAATTTACGCGGATATCCTCTCTCCATTTCCTTGATCGAAGACGTATTTGGCGATGACCTAAAAAAACAAAGAATCAAGTTTCTTGTCACGTTAGGTGACAAGAACACCTAATTCACGCATTTTTTCATTTATTCACGCCATATTTTCGTTATTCACGCCATATTGACATTGTTCACGTAAGAGTGTTGCTAATTCACGCAACCGATATTGTTTAGTCACGCAACCTGGTGTCAATTCACGCATATTGTTATTTATTCACGCCATTGTAAAATTAAATTTTAGACGTTAAAATATATCAAAATGGATGTCATTGTGTAGATTATGATCAATGCAACATATTTTTACAGACTAATTGAGAATCCAAATTTAATTCCATAAAATATAGCCAATACAAATAATTAGGGGGAAAAGTCTGAATTTTCATTTACGTGAATAACTTACACTCTTACGTGAATAAACATAGTATTACGTGAATACACACAAAATGGCGTGAATGAGTACAAAAATACGTGAATAAATTGACATTAAGTGTTTTGTCACCTAACGTGACAAGAGATGTTTTCCAAAAACAAAAGAGATGTATTTGGCGATAAGTACCTACCTCCCAACCTGCCGACCAGCTATCTATCTATAAATGGATCACCTTCTTCGCCTCTTTCATCCTCGTCAACCAACACGCAAACACTCACAGTTCCAAAAACCAAATCAGCAGTTCAATAAGAATAATATCAAAATGAGCCACGCAATCGACGTCTCCGCCGGACCCCTGTTCGGTGCCGGCCGCTTCCGCTCGGCGGTACCACCCTCCTTGAGCCACCCTACTCGCAATTCCGGCCAAATTAGCTTCAGTTCCAATATCGCGCTCCAATCTCCCCGTTCCAGCAGGTCCGTCAGACCCGTTCAAACAGCAGCCGCCGCCGGGAGCAGTCTCTGCGTCAGCACGGAGAGCTTCTACGACTTGCTGGGGATTCCAGTTAGCGGAACGCTGCCGGAGATCAAGCAAGCGTACCGGCAGCTCACTCGGAAGTACCATCCGGACGTTTCCCCGCCGGAGAAAGCAGAGGAGTACACGAGACGATTTCTTGAGGTCCAGGAGGCCTACGAGACGTTGTCGGATCCCGAGAGCCGAGCTCAGTATGACAGAGAGTTGGCCTCTGGATTCCACTTGGCCTTCTCTGCTCGAAAGCAATTCCACAAGGTAACTTCTGAAGCTATTGTTTCGTGTGTATAGATATATTGGCCGCACCACACGGGATGAAAGGGAGTCTGAATTTGTGGTTATTTGATAAAAACAGGGGATGGATCCGCAAGGCGAGTGGAAACAGAGGTGGGAGACTCAAATAGACGAGTTGCAGAGCATGCGCCAGAGGAAACAGAGATACAGCTACTCCTGGGGAGATAGAATGCGGAGTCAAAGATCATGCCAATTCAGTTTCAATTAGTGTTTCTGGTTTAGAATAGAGATGACTTGTACATATTTCTTCTTGAATCCGGTGGATTTAGGAAGCAGAGGAAATCTGGTGATTTTGGATCGATTTGGAATGTATATCATAAGAATTAGAGAGATGTAATTATGGTGGAAATCAAAATAAATAAAATTTTGAACTTCTCCAGGGAAAATTTTGAGTTATTGAAGGTAACTCCGTGGGTTTTCTTGGCCTGATTCTTCCGGTAACTGCCTTCATGCTCTGTCTTCGACCTTTCCCGCTAGGGCAGGCCAACTATGAGTTCAATTTGTTGGCTGACTTAACCGGACCACAAGCCCACTTCAGTAACTTCAGCCCAAATATGTTGGGAGTGCGCAATTTGCCTCCTATGTTGTCCTTCGCCTCGCTGATGCCGTCTCTCTAGCTCTGGTGCAGATATTAATTATTTAGTCGTCAAGTAATTAATTTCGTGTCCTATTTGTCCTCCAAGCCTCTCGTTTTCTTGTCCTTATAAAAGAAGAAAACTTGGTTGTCATTAGAGTTTTAACCCTACGTCTATCTCTATATAAGCTTAGCTACGAGATTGTCGTAAGCAAGCTGTCACAATGTAGTCCTCTAATAAAATCGTCAGTCGTGAGCTCTTTCGAGTTCACCGTGGATTAGTCTCGTTCAATCAAGAACGAGAATACCACGTAAAATCCTATGTCTCGTGTTCGTTTCTTTCCACATCATTAAATTCTACATGGTATTAGAGCGAAACTCGATCTTTGTCTAGGGTTCCGTTGCCTCTCCGACAACTTCGACTAATAAGCTCCAACCCACAAAGCTTGTTAACCAGAGTCTGCAATTTCTCAAAACTCAAGCTTGCTGAATGTAAAACGAAAAGAACAAGGAATAACAGGGTAAAGGCGGATTTGGAGGGTGCAACTTCAACACCCAATCGGGGGAAGAGGCTCTATCCAAATAAAGTCGCAACTCGACCACGAGTCCACGATTGAGGTGGTAACTTAATCGATACTGAGCTCGCTCATCATTGGAAAGCAATCCACTTAACAAGGACAATTCACGAGCATAAACACTCAATGAACAAAGGTTCTTTGATTAACAACGTCTAAGTATTACAATGGAGTTTCTAGCCTTAAATAGACAAACTTAAACCTAATTCAACTACAAAACGAAAAAGGGAACATAATTATACTATACTACAATTAAAGTAAGAATTCAAACTGGAATGGAATCTGATGACTTGATATTTACACATGTTTTTGTCCACCATTCTTATACTGTTTAAGCCTTGTCTCCCATGTTTTAGACCGATTTCACGCTAGATTGTTATTGTTTGTGATATTTCAGGTCCTAGTAGGTGAAGGAATGTTTGGGCACGAGTTCGGGGTCGATTGGACGAAGTTGGGACGTTTGACGAAAAGCTGAGGAAACTACACGACCTGACCTAAATTCCACACGGGCGTGTGACTTGGCCGTGTGGAACCCCTTTGAGCGTGCAAAGCCACACTTGCCATGTAAGGGTCCTTTTTGGCCGTGTGGGATTTCCAGAGAGTTCACACGGGCAGGAAATATTTCTACACGGCCGTGCGGTTCTGGCCGTGTAGCGTACATTGAATCACTTAATCAAAACGTCGGGGTTTAGGATTTTACACGGGCAGCTGGGGATTCCACACGGCCGTGTGGTCGTGGAATTCTAGGTTTTAACCCAATTTCGGGTCTTTGAAGAGGGGGATAGATTTTCCAGAGCAAAAAATAGAGTCTTAGAGAGAGAAAGTGCGAAGAACAAACCCTATGAGTGATTTTGGAGTTGGGTTTCATCAATCAAGCTTGGATTTCATCCTTGGAGTGAAGATTATCATCCCAGAGCAGATTCTTCTCATTGTTATGAGTATGACTTCTTTGTATTCTGTTTTCCTGTCTCTCTCTATGGAGTAGAACTCTCTCTCACTTGAGTATGAAGAACCATAGTTCCATGTGTTAGGGATAATGATTGTAATGACTTTTGGATTGATATATTGTGTGATTATAATCAATTGATGCATGATTCATTGAGTCAATTGAAGTTTGATAAACTTTTCTTGATTTCTGCTGCAACCTGAGATAGATAGAATCTGATTAGGTTGTTAGAGCTTCTTCAATCGGTAGTAGCGAATTGATCATACGAGAGTTAGTCGATTCACTGCTTTTTATTGGATGTAACATCTCGTTCCGGCAAAACCCATATCTCGATCGCTAGAAATTTGCGATTTAAAATCGAGGGTTTTGATAGTATTTCGGCGAAAATCGGATTATCGATCGATCGGATAAGTATACGTATTAATTAGATAGATAGAATTGTAACATTCCGTTCCGGCAAAACCTATATCTCGATCGCTAGAAATTTGCGATTTAAAATCGAGCGTTTTGATAGTATTTCGGCGAAAATCGAATTATCGATCGGATAAGTATACATATTAATTTTTTTTATATATATATTCCGGTTCATTTAATTCCCTTCCCCTTATCTATTTCTTTTCCCCAAATCGTCTTCTTGTCCCTTTTATTACCGAGAGCAATAGAGAAGCAGAGCACGGACAGGGGAGGGTCGAGGGAAAAATTTCAAAGCTCAAATCTTGAGTTCTAGTGATCCAAAAATTCCGTAAGTAATGCCTAATTAACCTATACATCGTGATTTATCGATTTAGAGCTTTAAAACGAGTTTTTGGTTCAGGAATTTCTCGAATTCACGATAAGCCAAATTAGGGTTTCGGAGTATCCGGAAGCCGGATTGAGCCCAGATTTCATCTACGAGCTTTCTACAGCGAAGTAATCAATCCTTTGGTTCTAATCCATGAATTTCAGCTATTATTTAGGTCGGAGCCGGGATCGCTGAATTTAGCTCCGGCCAGGGTTTGATGTGTTTTTATCGAGAATTTGATCCGGAGCCTAGAACGAACATTGACGGGGACATTGCAGGGGATATTAGGACGGTCTCGGATTCTAATTCCGGGTTCGTTTGTGAAATTGAGGTTTTAGTACGGAGACAAAAACCGGTGTTTGAACTACCAGAACTAGTGAGGCATTAGCACGACATACCGGGTTTGTCGTATCACGATAATTATATTGATGCTTGTAATTGACCTAGGTGAACTAGAATGACATGATTAGGGGTGTATGGACTTTTGTGCTATATGATGAACCCTGGACTGCTGTATGATATTATTGACTTGCCCTAATCGATATGGACCTTGTTTATGTTGATAATTGCATACATGTTGCCATTTATGGCTTAACTGTTGATATGACTTCATGGTTGTTTGATAAGGTGTTTTGACATGATGTGATATTATGGTTGTATTTGGATCCATAAGTGGGGGAATAAACTTCCCAGGGTGATATTATGATGTTTAAGGAGGATGACTTGCACGAGGGTTCATCCCGAGGAAGTGCAATTATACGAATCCTGATTTACCTATGTTGAGCCAAGTATGGCCAGGTCAAGTACATGTGAAAGTAACGAATTATGATTATGCAAGATGAGATATGGATCATGTATAAGATTACCAAATAAGATCGATTTGGTCTCATGGTCAATTATATAGTAATTAGGGCTGCCCATGCTATTACTCCGTTATGATATGTTATGTCACACCCCTGATGTGGTGTTGGCCATTGATTCATCATGAGATATGACCACACCCAGAGTGGTGTCAGGTCCGATATGACTACACCGGCAGTGGTGGGTCCGATATGACCACATCCACGAAATGTTTGGTCTTTATTCCGGGAGAGTAATTAGCACGGGAGTAGCCAGGCTCCTATGATTAAAACATGATAAGATGCATATGCATAAGTCAAGATGGTTGAGTCTTTTGCCTATTGGGATGTCGGATGGTTGAGGTCTGATCCTAGTGCTTTGGCTTGATTGTTAGATGTATGGTAGGGGTATGCTGTTATGAACTCACTATGCGATGATTATCTCACTCAGCTATGAGCTGACCCTCTTTATCCTTTTTCTCTGCTTATGCCATGTGTAAGTAGATCATCATCATCAGCAGCAGTAGATAGGTGTATAGGTGGGAGCTGAGCAAGAGTTGAAGGCAAGATAATGTATGGTCTTCAACTATTCTGTGCTTGGAATACTACTCGGGATTTTGGCCAGTGATCCACACCTTTTTGTAAAAATGTTTTGAGAACGTTTTTCATGTGCATACTAGCTTCTGATGTAGTGTGAGATATCCACAGGCGTGGAAAGTTGATGATATGTGTATATTTTGTGTAACTGTGTAAGTTGTGACGATTATGGTATGTATAAGTATGGTATGCAGTTGTGGAGTATGAAAACTGTGACTATGGCTATGAAAGCCAATGTATATGGTTATGGGTATATGTGTATGTCTATGGATGCAGGGATTCAGATAAATTATTTTGCAGGTTTTAGTTACAAGAATTGTTAGCCCATTACGCGAGTAATTCATGTCGAAATTTTATTTGGGTAAATTTTGTAATTAATGTAACGCCCGAGATTATTTCCGCTGTAATTGTATGAACAATATGATTAGGCAAAATGTAGAGGGTAGGGTGTTACAGTTTGGTATAAGAGCTGAGGTATGGTCTTCAACTATTTTGTGCTTGGACTACTACTCGGGATTTAGGCTAGTGATCCACACCTTTTTGTAAAAATGTTTTGAGAACGTTTTTCATGTGCATACTAGCTTCTGATGTAGTGTGAGATATCCATAGGTGTGGAAAGTTGATGATATGTGTATATTTTGTGTAACTGTGTAAGTTGTGACGATTATGGTATGTATAAGTATGGTGTGCAGTTGTGGAGTATGAAAACTGTGACTATGGCTATGAAAGCCAATGTATATGGTTATTGGTATATGTGTATGTCTATGGATGCAGGGATTCAGATAAATTATTTTGCAAGTTTTAGTTACCAGAACTGTTAGCCCATTACGCGAGTAATTCATGTCGAAATTTTATTTGGGTAAATTTTGTAATTAATGTAACACCCGAGATTATTTCCGCTGTAATTGTATGAACAATATGATTAGGCAAAATGTATAGGGTAGGGTGTTACAGTTTGGTATCAGAGCCCGGTTCTCTCTTTTTGTTGTTATGGCGTACTATACTCTATGGGAGGTTAAACACTCATAAGGAGGGGAGTACATCATAATGACTTAAACTGG